AAAAAAAAAAAAAAAAAAAAAGATTCTATGGAAAACCTTTCAAGTTACTTGGAGGTACTCAAGATGATGTCATTAGAAAATATTTGAATTTTAATGTCAATACCCTAAATTGATATCTTTGGAATATAAAAACCAAATCTAGAAAGCAAAGAAAAAAAAAACCCTTATGATTGTGAGGCCCTGTATTATTTTATGTACTGAAACATCATTAAGACTAGGGAAAAAATGTATAATGGAATGAGTGGCAGGAGTTAAGTTTCAAAGTTAGTATATAAAACACCTATCACCTATCAATAAAAATACTCACAGGAATCCCTTACATTACCAGTGAAGTTCAGAAATACCATCTCTCAGTACGTCCCACAGTACCAGCCTAACCTCCCACACTGGAACATCGCTCTTTCTTTTGCTGAGCTCCAGATGAAAAGCAAGTAGCAGTAGGGACTTCCCTACTGCCTTCCAATGCAGGGGATGAGGGTTCGATCCCTGGTCAAGGAACTAAGATCCCACTTGCTGCGGGGCAACTACAGAGCCCGCCGCGCCCTACAGCCCATGCGCCACAACTAGAGAGAAGCCTGCCTGCCACAACTAAGACCCAACGCAGCCAAATAAATAATAAATAAATATTTAAAAAAAAAAAAAAAGAAAGAAAAGCAAGCAGCAATAAACACAACTGTCAGGCTCAGTATGAGGGGCCTTGGGGACTTGAGGCAGACCAGCAGGGAAAGAGAATGTCTTCACCTCAGGCGCACTTAGGGGCCTGTGTTCACTGATTGAATGACAGGCAGAAGTGCCCTTGCTATTCACCAGTATTTTTTTTTTCCCTTTCCTTGCTTTTGTTTTTCTCTTGGCAGAGCAGGTAGCAGAATTTGCAGGGATTAAATACATGTGTGACGAGGATGCCTCGTACGTGAAACGTCATGCAGTTTCTCTCCCACTCACTGCGGCAGTCAGGGCGGTGGGCTCCTCACTTCATTCACCCACACTGACCAAGAGCCAGCACTGTAGTCTGGGAAACTGACCTTAGCTGCAGGATATGACTAACCGGTCTAAGGATAATCCTATTTCTCTTGCCTGCCAGCGATTGGTTCAGGAGCAGGCATGGGAATCAATTCTGACCAGGAAGTTGCTGGAAGATTCTAGGAAAGTTTTGCTATGCTCTTAAAAAAGAGCCACAGGAAGTCAGTTTCTCTTCCTCCTACCAGATGAGAATGTGGAGGCAGGTAGCCTCAACTGCTACTGGCAGCCACCCTACAACCCTGAGGGGGAGAAGCAGACCCTTGAGGACAAGAGGATGCAGAGAGAGAAGATTTGCGTTCTTGATGCCATTGCTGAGCTGCTGAATCAACTAACCCTGAAGTCTTTCCTACCCAGAGAATGCCTGCTCTGTGAACTAAAACATTTTCTTACCGTTCAAGCTACAGTTGGGTACCTAATGTCTGCAGCTGAAAGTATCCTAAACAGATGCATTACCAGTAGAATAGATAGAACCAGTCCAGAACCCCTACAGTGATGCACTCAAATTCTGATATGAGAATATAATTTCTTAGAGGACAAATAACAACACTGGCTTGGGAAAGATGTGTCATGTCAATATAGAAAGACTCCACAGGAGACAGAAATTGAGCTCCCTCTCTCCTTCCATCAGAAGCCTTTAGACAGAGGGCTTTTGTCAGTGTGGGGATAATTACCTGACTGAGGTGGACTGCGGTTCTGCAAATAGAACTTATATCCTCCTGGAGCTTTGGTTTCAAAAACACCTTCTGCCACTTCACTGAGTGGCCACTCCAGCTTCCTGGCGTTGCTGACGGCCTGGCTAGAAGCGAGCGTGATACCCTATGGCAAACAACAGTATCACCCAAGTGCGTAATCACAACAGATCTTTTATAGAAGATAATGAAGCAAAACCCCACTGCCTTTACATCAAATCACCTAAGATTTAATTGGCATTCAAAATTTTCTGCTAGTAATTTTGAAGTAGGTTTTGGACATTCTTCTCCCACAAAGATTCCAAACTTTGTGAATTGTAGGACAGAAACACAAATGCCAGAGAAAGTTGATTCATTTAATACCAAAGATAATCTCTCCTCACTTTCGAGATCTGGTCAGAGAAATCTTGAACTTACCCTTGGCTCGCCAGCTACTTATTTAAAATGTTCTCTTTTTAATTTTGCTTTTTAAACCAAAATACATAAACCAACTGTCGAGACATTCTTTATTTAAATTAATCAAAATGCCTAAGAATGCGCACTATGCCTTCCGATGTGCCCGGCCTCGTTTCTAGCCTGGACTGCAGATCAGCCTCTCTCTGCCTCCAGTCTTGTCAATCCATCACCCACTCTGCAGCCAGAGTAAACTTCCTGAAACCCACCCTACAGTCTATCTCAGGACGGCAACCCCATGCTGTTGTTCCTCTGCTTAAAACCCTTGATGGCTCTTCATTCCACTCAGGGATGGCTTACAATGGCCTGAAAGGGCCAAGACAATCTGACCCATGTCATTTCTGAGCCCCTCTCCTCCCCCTCTCCCCTGGCTCTATTCCAGCCATGCTGGCCTCCTCACGTTTTCTAAAACGTGCCAGGCGCTGTCTGAGGGCTTTTGCACTGGCTGTTTCCTAGCTGAAATGCTCTTCCCTGAGATATCCACACGGCTAACTCCCTTATCTCCGAGACTTTGCTCAGATGTCACCTCCTCACAGAAACCTGCTCTCAACGCCCCACTTAAAATTAAAACTGGGGGCTTCCCTGGTGGCGCAGTGGTTGAGAGTCCACCTGCTGATGCAGGGGACACGGGTTCGTTCCCCGGTCTGGGAAGATCCCACGTGCCGCGGAGCGGCTGGGCCCGTGAGCCATGGCCACTGAGCCTGCGCGTCCGGAGCCTGTGCTCCGCAATGGGAGAGGCCACAACAGTGAGAGGCCCGCGTACTGCAAAAAAATAAATAAATAAATAAAACTGGTCATTTGCCCCATACTCCCAACCCCCCTTATCCTGTTCTGTTCTTACCCCATTACAATAATCACCTTTAAAATATTCAATAACATATATTACATTATATTATTTATTTATTCATTCATTGAAATTTATTTTTTTATTTTATTTTATTTTTTGCTGTATGCGGGCCTCTCACTGTTGTGGCCTCTCCCGTCGCGGAGCATAGGCTCCAGACGCGCAGGTTCAGCGGCCGTGGCTCACGGGCCCAGCCACTCCATGGCACGTGGGATCCTCCCGGACCGGGGCACGAACTCGTGTCCCCTGCAACGGCAGGCGGACTCCCAACCACTGCACCACCAGGGAAGCCTCATTGAAATTTATTATTTGTTGTCTGTCAGGCCCTGGGCCCCCTCCCCTACCAGGCACAGATTTCTGTCTGTTTTGTTCACCACTTATCCGAAATTCGTGGAACAGTGCCTGGCACGTAGCAGGCACTCAATAATAAATAATTTAATACACAGGTCATTTCACATATTTGTTAACATATGCATAAACTAAACTCCTAGAAGTGAAACTGCAAGGTCAAAGGGTAAAGGCACTAATTATTTTGATACTGCCAAACTTGAGGCTGTACCACTTCACACTCTTATTAGTAATGCATGAGTGTGGCAGTTTTCCCACACCCTTCCTCACAGTGTGTTATCACACCTTTTGATTTTTGCCAATCTGATAGATGGCAGATGGCAGCTCGGAAGTTGAACATCTTTTTCAATGTTTAAGAGACTTCCTCTTCTTTTCACTATACAGGGGTTCTTTATACATATGGGAGTTCTATTTAACCTGTTTTTCTTTGTGTTCCATGAACTGAGGAGCAGCACAGAAGGCACCTTTCATCAGGGCTCTCTTACTACCAAAGTCTCCTGGGAAGACCCACAGTGGAGCCACCAAGCTGTTCTCCACCTACATGGCTTCTAGTACCTGCAGGCCCACTGATCAACATTTGACCTGAGCCGATTAAATGTTTATGGCACCAAGATGGTTTTGCTCTTTTTTTTTCTCCCTGATTTAAATTTGGAGAGTAAAGAAAAGAAAGATAAGGAGAAACACAGAGACCCTCATATACACTCAATCACCAAATCCTATGAACTCTACCTCTGACATCTCTCAAATCCATCCTCTCCCTCCCTCCCCCACTACTGCCGCGTTTGTTAGTTACGGAACTGCAGGTTGCTGTGTATCCTGTGTGCTCATGGCCTCACTTCCAGTCCTGCTCCCTGCCAACCCAACCTCCCTGCTCTAGCCACGGATTCTTGAACAGGGCAAATACTGCGTCATTCCCCTGCTTAAAAGTGGCTCCACTCTGCTTTCAGAATAAAGTCTGAACGTCCTGGTATGATGTGGCCCCTGCTCACTCCTCCAGCCTCAACTCTACCCACTCCCTTCTTCACACACTAAGCTCCAGCCAGAGTGGGTCACTCACAGTTCTCTTGGCGCCATGCTCCCTGCCACCTCCAGGCCTGTGCGCATGCTGAGGACAGCCATCTCACCCTCCCTCCCTGCCCCTCACCCTGCTCAGACGCCACTTCTGGGAAGCCGCTCCTGAACTCTCATCTGAGCACAGGCTGGAAATTCCTCCTGTGTGTTCCCACATTCCCCTGTTCTTATCCCTATCTTAGAACTTATCACACGGTATTCTTGTTGTCTCTTTACCTGTTTCCCCCATCAGACAGGAAACTGCTTAGGCCAGGGAACATGCTCTAAATGGTATCCCCAGGACCTAACAAGGTACATGGCATAGAGCAAGTCACAATAAATATCTGTTAAATGAATAAATTAGTGAGAGGCATGGAGAGTGAGAAAGAGAAATGTATTAATATGTTATACCTGAGCAGTCCTTTCCATTTACAAAACACTTTATATATATATATATATATATATATATATATATATATATGGTCCTACAAACTTCCATCTAGGTACCGTTATTTTAACATGAGTTAACAGGAATAGTGAGATCAAATGAGCAAAATAACATCTAGCATGAGGTAGAGTTGCTCAGTAGATTCTGGGTAAGAATCAGTTACTCCTCTCTTGCTATGTATTTGGGCCCAGTGACATTCCCTCTCGCACACAGTAACTGCTCAGCAAATGACAGATACTATTACTATAACAGGTGCACAATAACTTGAATTCTTGAATGCATTAATGAATGCAGTGCATGCAATGACACCTTCTTTCTATCCTTAAAACCTTCTCAGATTTTTCTCTGACTAGGATTGACTGCAATCGCTCACCCCAATCACAACTGTCCACTAGAGAGAAAATATTTCCCTGGATGGTGATGAGGACCTGACGAACCATTGACTCTGGCCCTTCCACCTCCCGAGATGCAGTCATTCCCCCAGGGGAGTCTTGTCTCCTTCAAACCTGTCTCTAAGTCTTGAGCTTGATTCCTAAGTGGTGGGAGAACACATTTCATCCTGAGCCAGCTTGGAGACAGGGGCCCAAGCAGGTTTCTTGGTTTTGTTCTTTTTTAAATAGAAAATATCAAAAAACTAATCACTAAACTGCACCCCAAAGCCATCAATCAGCAGTCATCGTTATCTACAGCCGTATCAGTGACCTCTCTAAAAGGTACAGCCAAAAATCTGCTAGAACAAAATGATATTTACCATGAAGTCATTGCCAAGCTTGTAGTTGCCAATGCCGTAATTGTAAGTCAGTTCTGCAACAAAATGATCATCCTCAGGTCCAAATCCCACCATTGTTTTACTCCATTTTCCATCATAAGGCCTAGAAAAATGAAAAAAAAATGAACCCAGTGACCACAGACAAAATCTGCTTCAGGCTGCCCCCAAAGAACGATTGGGACAAAGAGGTGGGCAGTCCCTTCTGGTCCTCCAAGTACCCATAAGGATGAGATGACCTCAGCCGGTGCTAAGAGCAGCTGTGCACAGCGCTCACGGGCCCCATCACCAAAGGCTCAAAAGGCCATTTGTCTGGCACTTACTTGAGGGAAAGATTCGTTTACCTTTTCTTTAAAGTAGGGAGCTGAATCCTATAGGGACAGTCGTCCCACCTGACCTTAACTCATTTTTTGCCTATTGTCAAGCATGCAATTCCCATCAGGCCTTGGAATTTCTCAGCTTGCCATGGTTACTGAGCTTAAGAGATACTCCATAAGACACTGCTTCATCCACAGCATATACTTATTTGTGACCCTGAAGCTGCCTCCCTAATTTATTGCCTCCTTAATTTATTCTACTGCCTTCTACTCGCTTTGAGAAACTGCTTTCTGTTCTTCAGGGGTATTCAGAGACTAAAGAAGATTTTAAGAAACAAGGGGTCATACCCATTACAGGCAGCTCTGCAGCCTTCCTCAAATTCCTCATGCCGAAGAATCTGGTAAGGGAATGAGGATTAATGGCAAAGTTGTCCTAGTAGTACACACAGCATATTTAGCACAGACTAAAATGTGAAAACACAGACATTATTATCTGTAAGCTTTCTGTGTAAAACAAACAAAAGATAACGAGCTGTATATCTTTCCCAGGCTGGAAGTAGTAGAGGTAAGAAAGATCGGCTTGATACCAAGGGTCAGGCAACCAACCAAAGTTGTAAAATCTATTATATTTAGATCGGGAAGCAGTACTGTGTAGTGAAAGAAGTGTGGCCTTCACTTAGTAGCTGTGTAACTCTGAGAACAACATATTAGGATCTGAGTCTCCTAATATGTTGTGAAAATAGAAAATTTATTAAAGCATTTGACACAGAACCTACTACACAGTAGGCTCTCAATGTGTCAGTTTCTGTTTTCCTTTTTAAGTCCCACAGCTACTGCTCCAGTTCAAGCTCCCATCACATCTCGCACAGACTATTTATTAGAAATCATCTTATTGATCTCTTTCCTTAATACCACCATAAAATTAAGACCCTAAAGCACAGCTCTGATCACACCACTGCCCTGTTCTAAAATGTAAGAGAGCTCCCCACTTTTTATGACATGAAATCCAAATTCCTTATCATATTATTCAAGATACTACCAGGGACTTCCCTGGCAGTCCAGTGGTTAGGACCCCGCGCTCTCACTGCCAGGGCTGGGGTTCGATCTCTGGTCAGGGAACTAAGATCCCATAAGCCGTGTGGAGCAGCCAACAACAACAACAAAAAAAACCCCAAAAAACTAAAGGCACATAAAACTAGTGGTGCTTCCCAAACATATCTTAACTTTGCATTGGCTGTTCAGTTTTTCTAGTATACTCCTCCCTCTAATCTAGGTCTATGGATATCCCACCTATCTTTAGAGGTCACCTCAAGTACAAGGTCTCCATGAATTATTTCCTGAGGACCAGGTTAGAGTCAAAGCTCTCCTACTGTTGTACTTTTATAATAATGGTAGCTAACACTTACATAATACATACCATGTGTCAAATACTACACATATAATAATGTGTTTAATCTTTACAACCACCCTTTTATCAATGAGGAAACACATTAAGAGAGAGCTCTGTGGTTTTCTATCATCAAATTTCAAGTACCGTTACCATCAGCAATGTACAATTCCCACCCCCATTCCAAGCCAGAAGCTTTAATTGAGGACAGATACCAGGGTTATTTTCATCTTTGTCACCAAAGCCCAACACAGAACCATGAAGCGGGTGATGTTTTTTAAATGACTGATGAATTCAGGTAACTCCCTTTGTACTCCATGTCTCCTGCGGTGTCTCTACATTAAATCGCACTCTTGCACACTGTAAACGAAGAATGTCGCCTGCAACTCCATTTCTACAAGGACCAGGGCATCAGCTACTGCAGTGGCCCACCAACAGTGCACCTTGAAGGGAATTCAGGATGGAGAAAAACAAGAAGCATTCCATGCTTTGGATGCTGGCCCTAGATATTTAAGATGCATATCTAAGGAATAATTTCAATGAATCCAGAACCCATCTTCTGGGACTTCCCTGGTGGTGCAGTCGTTAGGAATCCGCCTGCCAATGCAGGGGACCACTTCCTGGACCGGGAAGATCCCACGTGCCGTGGAGCAACTTAGCCCATGCGCCACAACTACTGAGCCTGCACTCTAGAGCCCCCAAGCCACAACTACTGAAGCCCACGCGCCTAGAGCCCATGCTCCGCAACAAGACAAGCCACCGCAATGAGAAGCCTGCGCACCGCAGCGAAGAGTAGCCCCCACTCGCCGCAACTAGAGAAAGCCCGTGCTTAGCAACGAAGACCCAATGCAGCCAAAAATAAATAAATAAGTTTATTTTTAAAAATCCCAAGTTAAAAAAAAAGAAAGAAGCATTAACTTGAGATGTCTGTTTTTGTGATTAGCAGTAATCTTTTGATGTTCAACTACGTGGTTTTGGTTTTTTTCCCCCCCCAGAAAAAAACTCATATATATTCTAGCTCCGCCCTTGCCTCTTCGGGGCAGTTCCTCAGAGCTATCTGAGAGGCTGTCTTCCAGGCTATAGTCCTCAGTAAGGTTCCCAAAAACAACTTAACTCGAAAATTTTAGGTTGTGCATTTTTGTTTCAGTTGACAACATCTAAAGTCCCTGCTTATCAGGAAGCTCCCCAATAGCTTCCACCAGCTCTTGCCACCCAGGTGATCTCTGCAGAATCACAGCTGCTCAGAGCTGGAGAGAGGCGACTTCCAGGTGTTGGAGACGAGGATGGGTTCTCACTTCACACTTAGATCTGGACTATGGAGAGAAGAATTGGAGCACTCACCCAGAGACTGAATATCCAAGAGACCATTCAAACCAGCAACAAGAGAAGCAGAACTCTGACTAATGCTGATATCTAAACCGAAAGGCTCCAAACCAGAAGAGAGTCATTGTTCACCGGAGGAGTATTATATATAACTTTTTATTTACTACCTTTCCCACTAGACTAGAAGCTTCGCACGGGCAGAAATAAACATTCGTGAATAAACTTAAATGAAAGAACGTGTGTGGGCACACAATCGGCGACTAGTAAGTGTGACCCCCTTTCAAAGTCCATCTAACCCAAGCCGCGACTCACGACTCTTCCTGAAGTTGAAAACCACAGAGCTAATGGGAAGTCTAGGGGCTAAGGTCGGACACCCGGGTTCCCGCTGAAATCCACATCACACCCTTTTCTCCCCTCCCTCGGCCATGTGGGGCTCAGCCTCCCGCGACCCCCTCGCGCGCCAGCCCCTCTCCGCCCCGTCTCCACCTTCATTCCCAGGACATCACGATAGAAACACGCCGTCTGGAAGCGGTTTCCCACTTTGAACACGAAGTGCAGAGACCGACGAGTCGCCATGACCAGCCGTTACTCTTACAGCACCGCACCGCCCATAGAGGACGCCGGCGCGGTAGTGACGTCACTGATCGCCGCCGGCGCGCCTTCGTGACGCAGCTCACGGCGCAAGGGAAGATGGCGGTGCTGGGGGAGCGCGCCTGTTGGGCCACGCGACCGTTGTTGCCGGTGGTGCGGACTTGGGAACTCGATGCGCGGCGCTGGGTCCGGGCGCTGCGGCGCAGCCCCGTGAAAGTGGTGTTTCCATCAGGTCAGGTCGTGGAACGGAAGCCCGGTCCCGGGAAGCAGCCTCGGAAGGCGGCGGCAGAGGCCAGTCCCCGCGAGCAGCGACTGAAGCAGTCGCGTCAGGTGCCCCCATCCCAGACCCCCAGCACCTGGGAAGAGTCGGGGCTTCGCTATGATAAGGCTTTCCCTGGAGACAAAAGGCTGAGGTGATGTGTTCCTGAGGCTTGTCGAGTTTTCTCGTTTCTCTTTCCCCTCACAACGAGACCTTGACCTCTTTCCTCCCGTTGGAGGACTTCTTGAAGCACAACTCACTGGTTTTTATTATGCATGGAGGGCAGATAAGTGTCTAACAGTTCGTTTCTTTCCCTGCGAAGCTCTTCATGTCTGTTAGAACTAGATGTGTCTCCGTAACGAGGATGTTGGTAATTACCCGTCTTTTTGTTTCCACCCACAGCAGTGTGATGACAGTAGTTAAGTCCAGGCAGTTTCGGGAAAAGCAAGGGAAGATCCTGTTGGAAGGTCGTAGGCTGATTGCAGATGCTCTCAAGGCTGGTGCTGTGCCCAAAGTTTTCTTCTTTAGCCGTCTGGAATACATAAAGGAGCTGCCCATTGAGAAGCTGAAAGGTGTTAGCCTCATTAAGGTGAAATTTGAGGATATCAAGGATTGGTCCGACCTAGTAACACCACAAGGAATAATGGGTCAGTGGTTATCCAGTGTGTCTCTAGAAGTAGAGACTTGGGGTTATTTGTTCATATTTGTCTCAGGGCAACAAATTTTATTTAAACCAAATTCAAAATATTACGGTGCCTAACCTTTTCTTAAGACACCCAGAAAAATACAGTTCTCAAATCTGTGCATCTTGTATCTTCAGTGGAGACTCAAGCCATTTTTTTGTCATTTGTATTGTGGTTTTTTTATAGTCTCTAGGGGATAATCAGTCTTCCTCAGACCTTATTTTTTTGGGGGGGGGGTCACTTCTTCAACCTTAAGTGTTCAATTAAAAATTAAGAAAATGTTGGGAATTCCCTGGTGGTCCAATGGTTAGGACTCGGTGCTTTCACTGCTGTGGGCCCAGGTTCGATGCCTGGTCGGGGAATTAAGATCCCGAAAGCCACGAGGCACGGCCAAAAACAAAAAAATTAAAATGTTTACCAAAAGATTTACCCTCTATTTTCACAAAACCTTTGCCAGTGTGGTAATACCTATATATTGTTGACCCCCTTATTCTAGAAGCAGGTCTGAGCAGTAAGCTGCAATTTATCGCCCGGTTTAGCCTGTTGAACAGGAAACCTTGTCTTCATTTGATTGAATCCAACTCAAGATTCTAATAGACTGTCTGTTAGCACTTAGAAAGTCTTTTTTCTAAATGTGGAAAGACTAAACTCTTTGTACTTTTTTTGCCATTCAAGATATGAGAATCAAATGTGTAAGTGTAGAGATTTCTGTTGGATAGTAAGGGATCGTTGGGGCAGGGAAGGCGTTTTCTTCAAGATTCTAATGTTTAGGCCAGGGCCTCTCACACCAGTTGTACGTGCATATTCCCTGTAGTGGGCTCACTGTATAGCTGTTAGTTGGGAGCGGAAATTCTGGGGACAGTCTCTTGTTTCTGTAACCCAGCAAATCCTAGGAATCTTTGCCCCCGTGCCCAGAACTCTCCCATAGGGTGGGGACTTGGACTACTAAAGTCCTCCACTCAGTCTAAGTAACTGTGCTCTTATTAGCTATAGTTGTCCTTGGTAAGGACCCGGGTTTGATCTCTGGTCGGGGAACTAAGATCCCACAAGCCAGGCAGTGAGGCCCAAAAACAAAAAAAAAAATAACTAGGTTACAGAATAATTTCATAGAGTGTGATTTTTTTTTTTTTTTTTTTTTTTAGGTAAAAGAAAAAGCACTTATATATGGGTAGATGGACATACATGTAGGGAGATGCATGGAACAAGTTCTGAAAGGATACACTCCAAGGTTGAAAACAGTTATGAGGGAGAGGAGGGCACTGAATTTCTCGATCAGAATGTGTTCATCTAGTATATAATTAAGAATACACAAAGAATGATAAATAAATGAAAAGTCAAATTACTCCCCATGCCAGACAAATGAACCACCTTTTTTGTTTCTTTAGGGATTTTTGCCAAACCTGACCACGTCAAGATGACATACCCAGAGACTCAGCTTCTCCACACACTGCCCATATTGTTGATTTGTGACAATCTCCGCGACCCTGGGAACCTGGGGACAATTCTGCGATCTGCTGCTGGCGCAGGCTGCAGCAAAGTGTTGCTCACCAAAGGTAAGAGCACCTGCTACTGGGTGGATTAGGTGGCTGTTTGTAAGTGAGATGGCTCTGTGGGCAGACATGTATGTATCTGAATCTTGGATTTGTCCCTTGGTAGCTATGTGTAAGCAGTATTCTGAATGTCAATTTCCTCATCTGTAAAGTGGGCATAACAGAATCTACCTGGTAAGGTTGTTCTGAGGATTAAGTGAGATGATGAATATCAAGTACTTAGCACTGTGCCTGGCACACTCATTCATGTTGATTATCTTTAAAGTTATTTTGACACCTGCTACGTTATTAAAGAACTTATAATTAATCAGGGAAGAAACATGCTGGTTTGAACACTTGGTTATCTCCTCTCGTCAGAAACGGGAATTAGTAGCCTTGGTTCCAAACAGACTTGCCTAACAGTTGGGACATGCCTGAAAGGGCTGTTACAACCCGGGGGGGAGCGGAGAGGGAGAGGATCATTCATCAGAAACAGTCAAGCTACCATTTGGTGTAAACTGAAGTGGTCCCATTGCTGAGACTCGCCTGAATTGCTCCTGACAGCTCCTCCTCCCAGTCAGGCCTCGCTGGGATGCATCTCTCCGCTGGGATGAGTGAGGTGTGAGGTTCCATCATCAGTACCCCACTCACCTGCCTCACTGTTGAGACCTTGGGGAGCAGGTGTGGTCTGGGAATGCACCTGTATAATCCAGGCAGTGTGGTTTCCACATTGATGCTGGTGGATGGTGTGTGAGAGGTAGGGAAAGAGTAGGAACACTTGGTGTGGTGGCCAGTGCTGAGGACACCAGGATGAGGGGGAGTCTCACCTTGTCCCTTGCTCCCCACCGGTGGAGGGGTCCGACTAGATGGCGCCCCTCCAGTCTGGGCCCCTCTTCTGCCCGCCCCTCCTGCCACCTCTTGGCACACAGCCCACTTTCCATGCCTTGTTCCTGTGGTTGGGGATCCATGTGAACAGTGTACATTTTGCATGTCTTTTTTTCCTTTATAAACTTGGTTTGCCTACTTAACCTATCCTGAAGTTTGACAGGCTAACTTCTAATATAACTTATAATGAGGAGACTCGTGCTAACAAGTCAGGGAGGATAGCGGATATGTGGTGCCCTGGTCCTGCTGTCTCCCGACCTGTGGGAAAGGCCAAGTGTCTGGTGATGCATAGAGGTGGTTGGGTTTAGCACGACTGCACGGAAGGGAGAGGAAGTGTGTATGGAAGAAAGGGCTGTGGCCTTGGTTCTCCTTGGATTACTGTAATTGCCTCCAGTCTAATTTCCCCATTTCTAGCATCTTCCTTGCTCCGATCCAGATTCAGCATGGAAGCCAAATGGGTCTTTCTAAAACATAAACCAGATTTTGTCACTACTTTGCTTAAAATCCTTCAGGGTCATTATATTGTCTTCTGGATAAAATCCTAAACTCCTCAGCCTGGCATACCCAGCCTCCTTTAAATTGGTCCTTTCCTGCCTCCGGTCTCATCTCCCACCTCACCCCCATCCCAACCCCACTCAGTAATTGGCCCAATTACCTTACTTAGTTTTTCTTCCCACTTCTGTAACTTTGTTCTCTGACCCGGTCATTCTGACAAAGCCCTCCTAACCTTCAAGATCCCGCTCAGTGTTGTGTTCTCGGGTGGTTTTTCCTGCTTCGATAGCCCTGCTCCGTACGAGAGTTTTCTATTACCTTGTTCATGCTTCTTTTACATCAGTTATTACTGGTAGTGTAGTCACCTGCTGAAATGTTGTCCCGACGCCACTGCCCACTCCATCCTGAGCTCCTTGAGTTTGGGGACTTTAAGGCTCGCTCATCTCCCGTCCAATGTCTGGCACGTGTGTGGTAAATGTTTCTTTTGTTTGTTTTGTTTTTTGTTTTTGACCTCACCACATGGCTTGTGGGATCTTAGTTCCCCGACCAGGGGTGGAAGCACCGAGTTCCAACCATTGGACCACCAGGGAATTCCCTGTGTGTGGTAAATGTTGAAGGGATGAATAAAATCTGTTTCTGCACTAGCAGGAATGAATCCTCCAGTCCCTTGGCTGGACACCGCCATAGCTGGGGAGGCAGAGGTCTCAGCCACCAAGAAGGCCACACTAGGACATTTTTTGTTTTATCTCCTGATCCAGAATTAATCTGATTTACTTCAAAGTCCCCATGTCTGGGAAGGTTTGTAATGTTAATTGGATCCTCTTATTTTCTAGGCTGTGTGGATGCCTGGGAACCCAAAGTGCTGCGGGCAGGTATGGGCGCACATTTCCAAGTGCCCATCATCAACAACCTGGACTGGGAAGCAGTGCCCAACTACCTGCCCAATGACACCCGCGTCTACGTGGCTGACAACTGTGGCCTTTACACACAGGCCCAGGCCCAGATGTCTAATAAGGCCAGTGACTACGGCTGGGTATGTGACCGACGACCCCTAAAGTTTCACAAATATGAGGAGGAGGAAGAGAATCTAGAAAGTGCAGCCAATAAAGGCTGGCTCCCTGAACTTGAGGTCCAGACTTACGACTCAGACTGGACAGAGGCACCTGCAGCTGTGGTGATAGGTGGGGAGACCAGCGGCGTGAGCCTGGAGTCCCTGCAGTTGGCTGAGAGCACGGGGGGCGGGAGGCTGCTGATCCCCATCGTGCCTGGTGTGGACAGCCTGAACTCGGCCATGGCTGCGAGCATCCTGCTCTTTGAAGGGAGAAGACAACTGCGGGTGAGGGCGGAACACTTGAGCAGGGACGGGAGCTACCACTGAGAGGGGACGTGGAAGCCAGTCCTCAGTTTTAGGTTGTCTCTGTGGTTATTGGAAAAATAAGAACTTCCCTGACTTTCTGCTTAGCCTCAAAAATAACAAAGGCCAAAATTCCTCCTGAGATCTCCATCTTCCCACCGACTTTTATATATGTGTATATGTACGTGTGTGTGTGGGTAAGAGAGAGACAACGTAAGTAAATGCTTCTCATGGCTGTATGTTTTTAAAAACTGTCCACCATGGAGCATCTTTGTGCCCAGAAAGTTGCTGAGGGCATCACCTTGGGTAGGGAGGACCCCTCCCTCCACAGCTGGGGGTGCTCTGCAATCATGGCGTGCTGGTTAGAGGCCGGCCTTGGTCACTCAACTCCTGTGATCATTGGTCAGTGGAAGTTGACTTCGCCCCTGTGAAGTGTAGACCAGCAGATTGCATTAAAAAGTTTCATTTCAGTGTGGTCAGTGGGTCTCAATGCCTGTCTTTTCATCTTTGGCCTAGTGATGAGGACATTGCTAAGAGGTTAATGACCCAGGAAGCTGAGGGCTACAGGTGATGGCGTTCAGTAGCTGGCTCTTCTTTTGGCTTGGCTGTGTTAATCTCTGTGATTGTTAATTCAGGCCATGACTTAAACACTGTTTAATGTATGACACAATTTTTCCCCCCCATTTCTGGTGAAAGAGCTGATACCACCATTTCAGGTGGTATTACACCTTCTTAGCACCTCTGCAGATATCTTTTTGAGAACTTGGTTCAGAAAAAGAGGAAACAGTTCTTAAATCTTCAGCTTAATCCTGCATCTATCTGTCAGCAAAGCTGTACCCTTTTTACTAGCTTTCTGCTGTTAGTCCTACTTTGTATAACACTTTTGGTTAAATGTAATGACTTGTTTACATTAATCCCCCATCCTGCATAAACAGAACTGTTAGGAAAATGCCACTGTTCCTGGAGGCTGTGTGAACAGAGGCTTCTGTGAGGGGAGAGGCTGAGGTTCTGAGGATGAGAGCTTGGGGCCCTTGAGCCCACAACTCTGCAGCAAGACCCTGCTCTTCTTCTCTCTCTCAAACCCCCAGGGGACCAGGGCAAGCTGGATCCTTACTTACCAAGTGCCAGTGGGATGTAGCCAGGGACACGAGGGCAAAGGCAGATGGTAATCGATGTGTGTGTAAGTCACTGTGCGTGTGTGAGGTGGGATGGCGGGACCCAGAGGATGGGACCTAGTTCAAGCAGTGCTTTTACCACCACAGCGAATATGGTTGGAGTTGAGGACAAAGACACTAGCAGTGTAGTGTCACCACGTCCCTTCCATACAGTGGCGCCTGTCATGGTTGGGGTTCCTTGGGAGCCCTTCAGCTGCTCATCACAGGGAGGTCCAGTGAGTTGCAGCATGCCCAAGACGAACCGTGGACCCCTCCCTCCTCCCTTGGCTCACCCAGCTCCCTGGTAAGACCAAAAGGTCATGCATGACCGTGCCCCAAGTGGTGCCCCAGTGGGATTGCTCTGTTATGTTTGAGGGGAGGGGTTTTTAAAGGAACAATCTCTTTGGTTGGCTGTGCTCTCTCAGGCTGACTGGCCAGAAGCTGCTCTGGTGTCCTACTCTGGTCTGGGGCTGCCCAGGGCCCCACACAGATGTTGGGTGACAGTGGCCCCCAGAATGTTCTTGAGACTCTCCATCCCCCATCAGCTTTTAAAAAGTAGAAAAGCCCACAGCCTTTATGCTGTGTTGAGCCCACAAAGCCTGGGGCCCTCTGCCAGCTTCACAGCTATAATGCCCGTCACACCAGCAGGTGAAATTGGGGGTGGTGGACACCGGAGAACGATACCACTCTACTGACAGTCTCCCAACACCTTGGAAAAGTGCTAAAGAAACACGTCACTAAAAAGAGGCTCGCAGAAACTAACAAACACACCATTGTAAAGCAATTATACTCCAATAAATATTAAAAAAAAATAAAAAGAGGCTCATGCCTTTTCAGTGTGAAACCAGTCTCCTGCAATTTTTTTCCCTGGGTTATTATTCCTGCTGACTTTTATTGCAAAGTAAAAACCAATGAAAGAACAACAAACCCATACCTTGTCTTTGTTTAGAAAAACAAAGCACCACAGAAGAGCACACCTAGCAAGTCATTCTGTCATCCTGGGTGTAAGAAGGAAAAGACATTTACATCCCATTCACTTTATAGTCCATGACTTGTATACCATGCCTTGTGAGTTCCTTTTGTATATTTGTGGGTATAACTTAGCAGAGGGGAGGGCAAATTTTCCTTTCTTTAAAATGGTTACAGGGGAAGCAAATGGTGGTGAAGTTGTTTGCCTAGTGATGGAAATTAGCCATCTGGAAATTCTTCTCAGTTTCGAGGCCAATATTTATGTCACCATTTCCCCAGGAGACAGGATGAAAACTGAGCAGTATATGACAAGTAAAACACATTGCTTGGCTGAAAGAGAAGCCTTCAGAAGGTTGGCCAAGCTGCCCCTTGCTTTTGTGTTGCATGTGGCTTTAATGGTGATTTCTGCCACAAGGGGGCAGTCACGCCCCAACCACTCCCAACCCTGAAGGGAAGGGTGGGGATTTTTCCTGGATATAACTTGTGAAAGAGGATGGAATCAAAAGTCTCCCTCCACCACAGTGGGCCTTTTACAAGCTGTTTGTGCTCAGAGGTGCTAAAGTTGAAGACCCACCCACGTTGTCATTCATTCTCGGCAGAATCTGAAGTATAGAACATTGGACCAAAAACTAGGGAGGAAATGGACAGAAGTGGGAAGTAGCTGCCTCAGAAAAAACTAGCACATCTTTTCCCCTTGAATGGAGCCTCTGGGAAAGCAGCTCTGGACTAATGCTGATGTCCCCAGGTGCCTGGAACTCACACTGAGAACCCACTGCCTCGCCCCGTTTAGAGTGTCAGGGCAGGGGAGGCAGAAAGGTCCTCTTCCCTCCCCCAGCCGTGGCTACTAGCTCATGTTAGAGTCTCAGTCATTAAGGCCCAGAGGATAAACAGACCTCGGGGGACTGGTTTCCACTGGGGCCTTCTACCACCTGCCCCAGGGCTATTAGCAACACCCGGTGTCACCAAAAGCTGAACTGCTCCACTTCTGTTGTTCCACCACACGAAGACTCCAGGATCAGCACCTCGCCCAGGGTTCCCCGACTGGTGCTGAAAACCACGGCTGTGCTGTGGGCCCCTCTTGGCCAAGCCGCCTCCACCCACTGTGGGAGCAGAACTGACTGGCCCACCTGAAAAACGTGTTTTAAAGGACACACTCACGTAGACACCTTTAAACTCCAAGATCTCACGTCCTCTGCATCACTGAACACGCAAAAGAAAGAAGCTAGAAGCCAGATGTGCTGCTGTGGGTGACTGACAGTCCCTGAACCAGGGTCCCGCGTTACCTTGCAGCAGCTGCAGGCGCTCATAGCCTCAGGAAGCCAGGCCGCTGCTCAAAGGCCAGGTACTGAAAATGTGCATACATCACGCAAGGTAGCAGCTCTGTTCTCCACGTTTTGTAGGGAGGAGCAAGTTTTTTCAACTAAGGTCTCATAGTTGGAGAAGACCATCACCAAAGCTGATCCTTCCTCAAAATGCAAGAAGAGAACTAAGGTTGGGGAGAGACGTGGCTGCAGCAGGGTCTGGCCTCCCAGCCGCCCTTGCACCTCTGTGACCCCAGGCCGGCAGAGTGGCTGGACTGGCTGGGGACTGCGTATCCTCTGATATCAAAGGAGATCTGTCTGGGGGGACTGGGTCCTAATCATGCCTCCTCCCATATCCCACTTGTAGCCCGTGTGGGTGACTTACTTGTGTGAGGCAAGAGCGCCCAGGAGTCAGACCTGAGACTGGCTGCCTTCCTGGGGCTGCACACTGGCCTACAGGCCTGGGGACAGACGCTTTCATGAGGTGGCACATTATTGCATGGAAACCCTACAGCCCCTCAGAACAAGTCCTACTCAAATCTAGTCACACATTTCCTGACTCGGGAAGTGTTCCAGAAGGCCAAGAGGGTGAGGCATACTTAGGCTGAAAAATGCAGCAGAGTTACTTCTCTTCGTGCTTTCACACTCAGGCATACCTAGAATGTCCTGATGTCAGATCTACCCTCGTAGAAGGAGAAGTCCCGGCCATAGAGTAGAGCCAATATAAGATTTTCCTACATCCGAGCTTTTTGTTTCCTGGAAAATATTCTACCCTTCACACATACACCACTTGCTAATAATGAACAATCAATAATGAGGCGAGGGGCTTCCCTGGTGGCACAGTGGTTGAGAGTCCGCCTGCCGATGCAGGAGACACGGGTTCATGCCCCGGTCCGGAAAGATCCCACATGCCGCGGAGCGGCTGGGTACGTGAGCCATGGCCGCTGAGCCTGCGCGTCCAGGCTCCGCAACGGGAGAGGCCACAACAGTGAGAGGCCCGCGTACCGCAAAAAATAATAATAATAATAAGGCGAATAGACAACAGCCGTTTGTCCCCAAAGCATTTTCCCTTGAGCAGCCTGCTCTCTCGTCCCTGTTGGTGTCAGCAAAGAGGGACTTAGGTTTGAGTGCTCACTGAACACAGCTGCTTCTGGACAAATGGAAGATGCTGAGCTCCGGGCTGTCCTCGGTTCATGCCGCAGCACCGGAGAGAAGCTGCAGGTGCACTGCTGGACCTCCCACGATCCACACCGCTCGCCGATCCACACCGCCACCGCCGCCGCCGCCGCGCTCAGCTCCTGCTCCCAGCGGGCAAGGGACCTGGCTGAGGGGGAGGCGACAGTGAACAGAATGCTTGCGTGACTGGAGGCGCTGGACCAGCTACTCGCTCGGGCCCCTCCCAGGGCTGCCACTCCAAGCCCGCGGGCCTCTCCACGTGTACACGCACACGCGTGTGTAGTTCTCCTCCTCCGATGACCTCATTGGGTCCAGCTGCTCCGTTCCTGGACCACATTCTACTATGTCTGTCACTGCAGAATTCCGTTTGCTGCCCTGGAACAAGGCCGCAGGAGGAGAGAACAGCTTTTCAGTGGCTTTAATTAGGCAACAGGAAAAAACACAGTCTGGCTGAAAATTACCACTTGAAGCTTGGCTGATGCCAGAAAAGCAGAACAGGCTCCCTGCGCTTGGATGAGTGAGAGTCATTGATTGCGAGGACACACTTGGAGCGGGGGTAGCAGGCAGCCCCCTCACTTCTGGAAAAGAAGCTGATTCTCAGTCGCCCTCTGGCCTTTACACCTGCCCGCTGTACATGCCAACCCCACACACATACTTTTTTTCTTAAGTAGATCTTTATTGTTGGGGACAGGTAAAAAAAAAAAAAAAAATCTCATCTCTGTTGTGAAAATGGGTAGAATCGGATCTGGAAGTCATTGTGGTGAACACAGATCTGGAACCCCAGGGTGGCATTTTTACAGCCACCATCCTGCCTCATCAACCTGCAGGACATGGTTTCCCTTGCTGCTGGCGGAAGACCTTGAGTATGTCACAGCTGGTGGTTTAACCTGCTTCCGATCAGCGACAAGATAGTTTGGAGCTGCTTAGTGGGAATTAAGATGCCACCCACTTCGTCTGCTTCAACAACATTTAAGATCTCTCGCACTATAGAGACCGGGATTTTTCACTGGTGAGGTGATCCTCCCCCAGCATTTTTCCCCCAAAGTTGCCACCGTATAAACCAAAAGCACCTTTTTGGCAAACCTTCCCATTGATCTTAACCTCCACACCCCCCTCCAGAAGGGGAATTCTGGTGTCAAGGGTCCAGTTGACATTAGTGGCAAGTAGTTTAGTCAGCCCTGTGTGGACCGTAGAAGGATCAAAAATGACCTAATTTTTCTGCTGCAGTGACTTGCGAGGACGACTCCTCAACTGGACTTTGTTTCTTTTGCCCCAGAAGGTTAAGTAGTTGCTAAGAGAGACCACCTTTGTTCCAAGGCCACCATGGTACAGGGCACAGACAGAAATCCCGACCATCCTCCAAGTGAGGGTGACCTCCCCTCTTCCCCACACACCCCGCCCCCCAGGGAGACACTGGCAGGGCTCCCAGAGCAGCCCCTAGCCCTAGGACGGAGCTAGGTTTGAGAGTCTCCAACTACTGCCCCATTCTTCACAGGAGGACCCGTGCTGGGCTCCTTGTGTTTCTCCAACTGGCCTTCTCAGGCTTCTGAGCACGTGTTCCCGTGAAGGGGGGGAATGAACACGTGTCCACAAGGATGTCTGTAATCTGAGACTCCGCCCCCTGCAACAGCAAGTCAAACTCGGAGAGGTGGTGGCCAGAGCTCCAGCGGGGGATCTGCCTCTGACGCTCTAATCCAAACGAGAATCCCGGCTTCCAGAGGATTCGACAGATGACCACGTTAGGGCTTGGTTCTCAAAAATTCTGAAACATAGCTGCCAAATATCCGGTGAAAGTCAAGAGGATCTTGTGTGTTCCCCCCCCCGCCCCCTGCCACTGGCCACCCCATGGAGCACAGCACAAGCCAAAAGATTTTTGTTATGAAGGACAGGAATGGCCAAGTGGTTGATAACGTCCAGAGATGCCTGTTTTATTTCTTACTAGGTGACTGCATTTCAGGCTGGTAACAGTAACAGTCTAATTACCAACTAAATTTGTACCTCTGAACTACAAATCAGCAATCCCACTCAGCAAGGAGCAACATGTCAACAGCTAATTGGAGGGGGCTGGGTTTTCCAAATAAATGGTCTTGATTGGCTGTGAGTGGAGCCAGGGGTGAGGCCTGAGATTATTTTAAAGGCCCTGACTTCTGACTTGAGATAGGCTGAAACCCTGTGAGGCCCTAGGCAAAGCCTTCCATCCCAAATCCTAAGAGCACAGCTGTTAGCTTCCTTTCTGTGGTCAGTTCAGCCCAAACAAGGAGCTGAGCTGGGCCCGGCAGAGCGGACCCAGGGCCTACTCTTAGCTGACCTGTCTTTGGCCTGCACTCCCACCTCAGGGCACAGCCCTTTCTGTAGGTTCTTAGGAAAAAGCTAGGCTTCTGGTAATTTTTTTGTCTCTTTTAAGTTCTGCTTTGAGAAGAAAAGGGAATGCAGGGGTAACCAAGGGTGGGCAAGGGCACCTCAGCAGAGCTCCAGCGGCCCCAGGCCCAGAGCCGGGCTGAGTCAGGTCTGAGCTGGTGAGTGGTGCTCCTCCGGGAACACAGGACCACCGTGTCTTCTTGGGAAGATGTCCAAGGGGGAGAACTTAGTAACAACATTCCAAGATTGTAGGGGCTGTTCATCTGAGACGGTAGAAACTGGGAGAAGGTCAAGATCAAGGAAGAAAGAGCTAGAAGGAAGGAATGAGCAGCTCCTTCTTATCACATGGGAGGCGCTCCATCAAAGTAAGCAATTAGTACGTGAATCATTACCATAGCTACTCTCTTCCTCACCAGAAAAGAACACAAACCTCCTTTGAGGGCTGGAGAGCCCCTGCCCAAGAACCGGCTGACAAGCTGGTGTTTTTCCCTCAGACCAAGGCAGACCAAGTCACTTAGGAAAGGACGTCCTCGCCAGCAGCTCTGCACGGGGCCTCTGCGGCTGCCGCCCTCTCCCTGCTCCACCCGCCGCGGGTGCACCTCTGAACCCTCGGGCTCTGCACGTACGTGCCGGCACCTAAGGCAGAGCCAGAGCACCGATGCTCTGTCCCTTGGTGCCCACTTGACAGAAGAACACCCTGGCAAATACCTCACCAAGAGCTAGGGACCAAGAGAACGCTGCAGTCCCAGTTCGGGCCGGGTTATGCCAGCCCCGCGAATCCCAAGCAGAGTCTCCAAACACGGAGGTTCTTCTGCTGCTGGAGAGGATGCGCACCCTAGGGTGCTAGCTGAGGAGTTAATGCAGAAAACAAGGCACCACAGAGAGGTTGGACACTTGGGTTGTGTGATTCGGGACACCCTGGAAAAGTCCAAGGGTGGAGGGAAGGGCAGGGGAGGGGGAGGAGAAGAATGCGTTTTAAATAACATCCGGGGAAGCCGGAGCCCGACTAGATGGGCTCTGGTTTGAGCTTTTCTGCTAGGAAGTCATTCACAAAGGCCTCCACAATGGCAGGGGTGATCTCCTCCACGTCCATCACGTACTTGGCCCGGGCTGACATGTCCAGAATGGTGAGCAAAGGGGCAGCCTCGGGCAGGTTGGTGTAATCTCGCAGGGAGTCGGTCATGTCATCCTGGAAGTCACCGGAGGGAAAAAAAACCAGTAAGTTTCCAAGAAAGAGGGTAGAGAGTCCCCTGGGCCTGGACTCCCCAGATGGCCTAGGGATGGAGCCACCACATCATCCTGGAGCGAGGCCGGCCTCCAGGAAAGATGGGCTCTCAGAACGGGGAGCAGGGTACCCTGCCCTGCCAGGGGGAGGGGCAGCCTGGTTCATAAAATTCTCTCTCTGCATCACCCCAAACCCCAGGCAAGCCATCTTTTCTTATTAGCATGAAAGCAGCTTTAACTTGTGAAAATGGGATGTCCTTTGATTACTTACTTTTGCAACCAACCCTCAATTACCTGCAGCCCCACTGTGGGCCCAGGCCAATCTGGACTTCAACTTCAGAATGTTTTTAAGAAAACAGCCCACTGCCCCCAGCCCCACAGCTGCAGCAGGGGCAGGAGTTACACCGCCAGTTCAGAAGCCGGGGCCCCTGAAGTGCTACTGAAGTTTACACGGGTCGCTGTATTTATCATATGTTCCCAGTGACTGCCCTGAGGAATTTCCCTAGTATCAGATGTAGCTTTAAAGTATAAAGGCAAAGAGAAATCCAAAGACAAGGAGAAAGATTTGTAAGGGAGCAACCACCTGAGATTACCTTTCACGCTGCTGATACAGGAAATGGGCTGTCTATACCCATCCCCAGGTTGTCTTACCATAAAATGTGCAAAATTCTCCACTGAATGAAAAGCCCTGAGTCGCCCTGCGGAAAAAGGACTCAGGGTATTCCTGGCCTTAAATGCGGGTGAGCAAGAGGCTCACCGGGCTCTGAGGCAAGAAACATTTCTTTCTGAAAGGGCAGTTCTTTAGGAAAGATGGTTAGTTATTGTCTTTCTTTCCCCCACCCTATAAAGAGCACGCACTTCCCAGCAATGCCGGGTGATTCAGCATCTCTGGCAGCATTCACCCAACTCAGGACCTCCATCTGGGTTAATAAACAATCTTCCCGATAAACACAGGGGAGACACCTGGACAAATACTATACATCCAATTCCCGTTAGGAGGCCAAGCCAGAGCCCGCTGCCCCCCAACCCCTTCACTTTCCCTGGAGCAAACACGGGGAGATGAATTTTAACGTCTGTTAAGGCTTCAGAAGGGGCAACTTCTGCCTGCAGGAGAGGACAGGATCAAGACAAAGCCACGGCCCGCTCAGCCCTGGGGGATCGTGAAGGGCCTAAGTCCAGGGCTCAGAGGCCCCCAGTTGGTGCCTGATGTTCCTGCGCCCTGTGCTCCTTCCTAGCTGCCTTGCTTCCGAGGTCAGACCAAGAGAGCTGCCAAGGCCAGGAGCCCAGGTGCAGAGCAGAAGAAGGCCTGGTGGTGGGTGGGAGAGCTGGAGCAGCGGATGCCCCCGGGTCTCTGCCCAACCTCCTGGTCCAGGCTGGGCGGCCCGTCTGCCAGACCCACACGGACAGAGGGAGGGGGAGCACTGCTTCTGGAGTCACTCCTCATTTCACGTTCACTCCTCTCTGCCACCCACTTAATGCAGGACTTTGGCAGAAACTTCTCGGAGCCCAGGTCTCCTAAAACATGTGAAACGGATTCAATAATGGCTCACGTGGGGCTCCGCGAGCATGAGAGCCAGCCCACACGCACAGCCCGCCCAGGCGGGGCTCGGAGCCGTCTCACCCTCTCTGAGCCTCACCCTCCTCATCCGTGGGACGGTAAGGACGATGCTCCCTGCCCACTAGGTGAGGAGCACGTGGGTGGTCCAGGTGAGGCACCTCGCTCGGGCCTGGCCTATAGGAAACCTGCCATTGCTCCTTTTCAGCCACGTTTGTAACGCGGCCACCGGAGCCCTCCAGCCCTGCCCCCGCGCTGGCTCCGCCCTTTCTCCTCTGCGCCCATCTTTTTTCTCCGAGCCGTTCGAAAGGGGTTAGAGTTTAATACATTCAGAGCGGCTTCCATTTGTGCTTTGTGTGGAGCGGGCTGGGGACCCCCAAGGCAGAGCCCTGTGAACCTGCTTTGTTCCCTCCACCCCACGGCTGGGCAGGGTGACTTGAGCTGCCTTCCAGGGGCCCGCGGAGCAGGGGCGGCTACTGAGGTGATGAATGGGTGGTTCCGGGTGTCGCGCCGCCGCGGCATCCCCTGGGATCCAAACACAGCTTGAAATGAGCAGGGGCTCGGACCAACTGGAGGTACAGATGGGAGCAAGGAGGGCACGGGGGCTTCAAAACGTGTATCCGTCAGTAACTGGCTTAGGCCAGTGCCCGGGTGGGGGAAGGCAGCGGCACCTGTGCGGAGGGTGGCTCGGGGTGGGGACCGGGAAGACGTGGCTGCGACCATCTTGCAGATTCCACGTGTGCGGGACCCAGGCTCCCAGACCCCCGGGGGGCGGCCCAGCTTAAGGGCCTGCACTTCGTCCCTCCCCCTCCCCCTCTCCCGGTGGCGAGCCTTCTGCTCGGTCCAGCCCAGCCGAAGGCCCTCCAGGGACAGGCCTGGGGTGGGAGAGACAGGAATGCCAGGAACGTCAGCACTCTCCCCGGGCTGGAGGGGTAATTGCAGGTCGGAGTGGTGGTCGGATCCCCGCCGGCATCCCACGATGGGAAAAGGCCCCCTTGCGGGCCAGGGGAGGGGACTAACCAAGAAGACACTCTGTAAAGCATCAAGAGCTTGGTTTGGACCCAGCCCAGAGGAAGTAAGTGTTGATCGCGATCTTTGTGGCTCCCCAGCAGCCCGGGTGGGCGTAGCCTGGGTGCAAGGGGTGGGGGGGTGGGGGGGCTCTGTCATGGGAGGGCCTCCTGCGGCCCTGAGGCTGCTGTGTGTGAGAGGTGGCAAGAAGGAGGCGGCAGGGGCCAGAATTGGTTTTCCTTGACATCTTTTTATGCTACATTTGTTTGTGGAGCCTTCTGTAAGCACGGTCACCCCAGACCCCCTTCAGACATCCCCAAGGGCTGTTATCACCGGTGTTCTAAAAGCGGGCCGGCTGAGCCAGCCCCGGGGCCAGGCCACAGCAGCACTCACCTCCCCCGCCACAAAGAACAGAAGCGGTGCCTCCTCCTCTTTGGCTTTGTACTTGGCGATGATCTTCTCAGCTATGGGCTGGATCAGCTGCTTGGCCGCCTCAGACTCCCCGTCATCCTCAGAATCTGTGACAGGAGAGAGAAAGACACAAAGACGCACTGGCTTGTCAATCAAGATGGAGTGGTGCCTGGGTCCAGGGCCTGACTTGCCCATCTGAGCAGCCCCTGAAGGGAAGAGAAGCCTCCCCTGGGACACCAGCCTCGCCTCCTGGGTGCAGGAGCGTGTGTCCCCAGGCATAGGCCAGCTTGCTCACTGCTCTCACACACAGGCTGTCCTGAACCATGCCCCCAGGAAGAACCAAGTAGCGCTAATGCCCAGGCAAATGCAGTCCTGTTCACTGAGCTCTTCACAAACCCGCCTTGGAAGCTAAGCCTCCCCTAAGCCAGGACCTGAGGTCCCGGCAGGTTTTCCTCACAGTCACAGAATGAGATGCCGTGACCGCGGATCTCTGACTTCCTAATGGAAATGGCAGAACTGGTGGTGGTGGGTCAGGACTATGGTCTGATCAGCAGCTTTGGTGGCGGCTGGGAGGCACCAGGGCACTGGCAACTTCACAGCTGGCAGCGGGACTTGGCTGGGAAGGGACAGGCTGACTGCAGGGGAGAACCCCCAGCCGGGTTCCCAGAGCCTCCTCTGGGCATCTCTTGCCTCCAGTGAAACAGCAGCATGGGAGCAGCTCACTCCTGCTGAACCCTGAAACCCAGAGCAAGCGCAGACCGGGGGTGGGTGGAAACAGGTGCCCGCACAGGACCTTCACCCGGAAGTGCCACACCGCCCGGGAAGCCCAGTGCGCAGGCTCGGCCCCCCACACTCTAGATCCACAGTTAATTAGCTCTGTGATGCTGGGAACTCGCTTTGCCTCCCTGGGACCCTATTTTCACATCTGCAAATGGCCAGTGAGGTTCCCTACGGTCCCTCAGTTCAGAATTGCTTCCCAGGCCCCAGGATGTGGGCGTGTGAGCCTGCCCAGGAAAGCCCCAAGGTGAATGGTCCCCCAAGGCCAGCCCCTCCCAGGGCCTCTGCCCTCCAAGCGCAGGGCCAGCCTGCAAGTCAGTTTGCTTCAGGATTCCCTCAAGTCCGCATGTTGGCTCCCGCCTGGGGGCCCCCAAACCAGACTCCCAGAGAATGGGGGTCGGATGCTGCCTGCCTTCTCCAGCCCCCTCACCGTGGTGCGTATGGCAGCAGCTCAGCCATGATTCCGGTACCCATATTTACTTTAAGTTGGAACCAAGCAACGAGTCCCAAGGCAGAGGGCAAGGTGGACCTTGGCCAGCAGTTGCTCCGTTTGCAGAAGGAACCAGGGTCACCCTATGGGCCTGCAGGGAGCCCGGAGTGGGTGTTCTGTGTCCTCCTGCTGTCACCCACTGAAAGTCAGAGTGGGAGAGGCAGGGAGACTGAGGGGCTCTCAGCCCCGGAGATGCCGCCCGAGGCCGGGCCCTGCTCCAGCCACCCTGGGGCAGCTCCTCAGAGCACAGGTGAGCGGCAGCAGCAGCTGGGGACGAGCCTTGGCCTAAGGGGCCCAGCCCCCCACAGCTGCTGTGCTGCAGCCCGGCCCCCAACAATGGGTCTGTTCATCACGGGGCCGAGGGCTTCCTCCCGGGCTGACCTCTTCCTCCCAGCTGGCAGCCGGGAGCAGCTAGGAAGGAAAGCACAGCAGCAGCTCCCAGAACACCACCCCCCACAGGGGAGAACCACGAGTAAATCACTGGGGTCAGGAGCACGGCAGCCGCGGAGACAAAGGCCCAGGCCCTGCGTTGCTGGTGACAGAAAGAAGGTGTGGGGACAGACTTCCCAGACCCCCACCCAGTGAGCTCTGCCCATCCCGTCCCACCCTGGGGCTCCCGCTGAGCTTCATACCTACAAAAAGGACGAGGCAGGGGCCCTCGTTGAGCTGCACGGCGTTGGAGTCGGAGAGCTCCAGCACGGGCTTGGGGTGCCACGGGAAGCCCCTGCAGTCCTCATCGTTCAGCACCTCCACCCGCCCCTGCCGCGTGATCACCTCCCCCTGTGGGTCCAGCACAATGAGGGTGGGGATGCCTGCAAGAGAGGGCGCGAGATTGGCCACAGACCCACAGTCCACGGGACGGCCCCCTAGGACACAATTCAGCCAGAGAGCCCTGGGATGGAAGCTGGGCTCAGCCTCTGAAGAGCCAGGGAGCCCCCTGGGTTGGCAGGTAACATCTCCACGGGAGCCTAATAAGCAAGTCACTCCCCCGCCCCCCGCCTCCTGGTGAATGCGCTGAAGCTCCCACCTTAACCTACCGCCACGTAAAGATCAACAAGGCTGTGCGTTTCAGAACTCAGCACGGGGGCTTGGCACACAGAAGCAGAGAAGTCCTAGAGAGATCCCCAAGAAGCAGGAGCTGCTCCCATACCTGCAGGGAGTCTAAACCTCCTGAGGTGGTGCGAACACCCACTCCCCTGCAGTGCAGACCAGCACAGGTCAAGGGCAGGAGGGCCCCACCCGTGCAAGCACTGGGGGCCTGTGGCGGGGAGGAGCCTGGGACAGGGGCTGCCAGGGGCAGGACAGGAGGAGGACAGCTGGCCGCCATCTCCAGCCCTGCTGCTTGGGGAGGTTCCAGCATTCGCTCTGAGGGAGGCAGTCCCTGGAGGGAACATGCTGACGGCAGTGCTGTCGCCCTCATGTTAGAATCCTGGGCTGGGGTAAGAAACGCAACACAAAGCGCCCCGCAAACCACAGCCCGCCTCTAACCATAAAGCCTCCAGTGGAAAATCAGAGGAGATCCCTCCCGGGTTACAGTCGCATGTGGGTTTTCCACCTCCCTGTTCTTTGTACCCCATTCCCCGCTGCTTCTCCTCCAGCCACCACCCACAGAGGCAGACTCGGCCCTGCCCTTTGGGGACACTTGTCTCTCCACTGGCAGCTGGTCCCCTCCCCCCTTGCACCAACCAGCTGCCTCCCCTCTGGAGCTGACCGGAGCTTTAATTTTATATGGGCCAGGGAAAGCCAGAGCAATTTAATATTTATAGATTCCACAGCATTCAGTCGGTAATTTGCTCCACTGACATTTTACTTCACCACGGGGGGCGATGCTGAGGTACCAGAAGTACAGCCCTGGTGTTATGACCTGCATGGTGGCTGGGGCAGCGGGCATGCAGTGTCGTGAGCCTGTCTGAAAAAGGAAAAACGAGTCTATTATGTTCACACCTATTAGAAGGAGTGGCTTGGCATGTTGGGGAACAGGTCCAGAGAGAAACAGACTCTGGGGACTGCCTTTCCCACGACGCACAGCACATACAAACGCACGTGGCTGCAGCCAGCACACTCGGGCTTTCAGGATGCGCCCAGAGCTGTTGGGGCCTCCTGAGTTGTCTGGGTCTCCTGAGTTGTGTGTCAGAGTACAAGAGACTCGGGGCATTTCCAGCCTCATCCTCACAACGGCATGTCATCCCCCAGAGGCCTGGGGCTCACATCAGGTGTGTCCCCAACCCGGATCGGGCTGGGCTTGAGTCAGAAGCCTGAAGGGAGCCTGGGGATGGGGCCCACAACATGACAGTCTGGCCATCTGCAGACAAATGCCTCCCCAGCACCATGCCTCATCTCAAAAATGCCTTGGCCAAGTTCTTTAATCAGTTTCTGAAATTGGGCAATTTCAAGTGTTGGGCTAAACCAGGGCCTGCCCACTGCTATGATTAGACACTGCAGCAGGCCTGTTTGTAGCTCAGACATGGGATGCTGAGTTGGTCTGTGGAGGGCAAGTAGGCACAGAGGACGGACAGAGAAGGCAGGAGAAGTAAAATCCAAAGGCAAAGAAGCTCACTTCCTGGTTTGGTGCCTCGGTTTCTCCAAGTGACTACTCTAAGAGGCTTCTTTGTTACCACGGCTGCAGCCTCTCTCCAGTCATGGCTGGTGGGGACCAGGGCGGCAGGGCAGGGACACAGGCCCCCAGCTGGCCGCTGTGGAGTCCTCGCCAAGTCAACAGAGGAACAGCTCCCCTGGGCCCCCGGGTCTCCCCACTCCTCCCCCACAGCTACGTGAAAGCGAAGTCCCCCTTGTATTTGGTGCTTTGAGCCCAAGATGATGAGGTGCATGTGCCTGTGGAGTGTAAACAGAAAGTGACTCGGTACAATGACCACAGACTTCAACCAAGAGAAGCCCACTTCCGGCACACGGACAGAGAAAAAGAATCAACAAGCATCGGGCCAGGCCGCCTTCCCATCACTGGATCTTGGGTTAGCTTGGCCCCGGAGCCCTAAGTGTGTATGTTCCTCCAGAGACGAACCAGCGGGCGAGAAAAGGAAGCTTGCTCTCAGGGCATCTGCTCTGTGCTCCGCACAGGGCGTGGGACCTCACTCACTCCTGGAAGTACGATTATCCTCCTCCTGCAGATGTTCAAGTTGCCTGCCCAAGGTCGTCTGGCCAGTAAGTGGCCACGGTGGGACAGGAAGCCTGGTCTGCCTGCTGGAAAAGCTGCTGCTCCTTCTACCAGGCCGGCCACTGGCGGGAGCTCTCACAGCCCCGGGCTGGGGACTCTCATCCCCAAGGAGGAGCTGGGCAGGGCGGGCCCTGCATCCGCACTCTGTGCACCACCCACCTCCCTCTTCTCTGAGGCTTTGGGGAAGGAGGCTGAGATACGGTCACCTCTCCCCTTTCTCCCCTGCCCCCCGCCCCATCAGGCCTTTCCTGCTCCCCCCTCCCTTGAAGCAGGTTCCCCGAAGCAGAGACTTCTAAGGAGAAAATAGGGCAGAGCCTCTTACGGGAAACTTAAAGGGAATGGAAAATTTCTAATCAATGCCTTTGTACGGAATAACTACCACCCCAGCAAGGGGCTCGCTTCCCTGACGGGAATGAAAAGGGAGCAGTTCGCCTCTGCTTCTCTTGAACTTGTCGTTTCCCAGCTGGGATGGCTGGAACGGCTGGAGGGAGAGTACAGTAAGAATTCTAAGGAAGACCCAGGAAAGTCACTTAACTGCTCAGAGCCTCATTTCCATACCGTCAAATGGGGGTAGTGATAGTTTCCTGTCTTACTTGGGGGCTGGAAGTAAAATGACAAGTAGAAAATGCTTTCGAGCAGACCATCTGGCACACAGTAAGTACTCCGTA